GTGAGCCCGTCCATGGAAAACTCTCGGCGCGTCAGGCTGGGGGATCGAACCAGAGGCTTCTTGGATGCTAACCGCGGTGACCGCTGGCCGTCCTGGTGGCCGCGGGACAGTTTAGGAGATTTGCGCGGTTCCAGGTTCATTCTATAGAGCAAAAAAACCCGGAAAAAAAAAAACAATCGAACTTTCCAGGATGTTATCAATGTGTCTTATCAAGAAAATCTCGCTGAATAGTGTAAATGGCCCAGATAAAAATAATAAGAGTTGGAACCTAAAATATAGCCCAAGCGATGATCTCAAACCACTTCGGTATCGATGCAGCCCCCTTGGGAGAAATCACCAGGAAAAATAAATGGCGAACAATGTAGATGTTGTTTTCGGGTGAAAATTTGCTTTCAGGTTTCAATTCAGCAGAGTTTGACTGTACGCCGCCGCCGCGTTGGTTGTGGGGTTGGTGAGGACATCAAGCTGAATGTTCTGATTGGCCAGGAGAGACTGAACCAGGCCGATGCTCTGAGTGGGCGACATGGCCTGAGCCGGGCTGTGGATGGGAGCGATGGGAATGTTGACGGTGCAGGGCGGGTTGTCTCCTGACGATTTTTTTTTTTTTTGTAAGCGTCTATGTGATGTTATGTTTTGTGGTTTTAGGACAGGGATGCGTACTAAGTCATGTCACTTTTTCTGTTCCTGTCGCTCAGTGGTGTTTGACGATGAGCCCATCACTTCACACGGGAGGGGGAGAAGAGTTTGTTAGTGGAAGCCGCCCAAGTCCAAATACTTCGTTTCTGTACTAATATTCATTCTTATGAAAGGGTTTTCTGATCATTGTATGGGGTTTCTTTATGGTTCCAAATATTAATATAGGCAACAATAAATACTTGGGTGGTGATGTTATTCACATCAGGGTTCAGTTACAGCGCGTATGTAATATGCGCTTGGTGGTTTGGCTCACCTGTTTCCTCGGGAGAACTTGGGTGACTTCTTGCCGACCCATTCGTCGCTGAGCTCCACGTCGCTGGAGTCAGAGCAGTTGCAGCTGTCGGCGTACGAGAACACAAGTATCTGTACTTCGACTAAATTTCAGAGCGTGAGTCATTATGCCATCTCCGTTTTCGGCACGTGAAAAACATATCGGGTGTTGATGCGAGATAAACCTGGCAAATCATCCTCGTCCTCGCTGAACACGTTGGGGTTGAACACGGGCAGGCTCATGAAGTCGTGCGAGATCTTGCGCACCTCCGGGAGGTAAATGGTCATCTGGCGCGGTTGCAAATGAAGCAAGCTTGTCTTGTAGATGACTGAGACACACAAACACATCGGCACTTGAGGAAGTTTGCTCTTCATTCTTCAGATACTCACCAAACGGCGTGCAACTGCCTTGCATTCTTGCCGCAAACAAGTACGGTGCAACTCAACCTCTGGCTACCAGACGTCCTGGCGAGCGACATGATTTTGGAAGTGCATCCAACAAAACTCACTTTCAAACGGCATGAAACCAATGTGAAAAAAAAACAAAAACAATCATGTCATTGTCGTTGACATCGCGTCATAATTTACACCGTTCAAACTTTTACGGTGGCACTTGCCTGCGCTGCTTCCAACTAAAGTACCCATTAGATTTAGGTGTGAAGGAAAAAGATCGGCTTTTTTCTGACACTT